CCTGCCTGCCCCTCCCTGCCCTCCTCTGCCTGGCACGCCCTCCCTACATTCTACCCACACGCCCCAGCCCCCACCTAGACACCCACACCGCTAGGCCCACACTGTCCCACAATGTGCGAAGGATTGTCATGTGAACGTGACGCTTGGGCAATTCCTGGCTCCCTCCATTGGCTACTTTCTGCGACTGTCTTCAACGATCATCAATCAACCGATCCATCACTCGCTCATTCGCCCACTCCCTTCTCCTTACTCAATCCTTCCATCCATTCTCTCTCATTCCCATTCCCGTCTCCCTCTCCCACTACTCACCCTCCATCCTTTCCCTTTTCCTTCCCCTTCCTTCTAATCCCTCTCCTACTCCCTCAATTCTCTTATCGACCAACACACGCAACTACGGGCCACAAGCACTCTACGCCAAACTCTCCCTCCAGAAGAGAGGCCCCCACCAATCACGCCTCTCCCGTCCAATCTCCGAGACGACGACGACGACCCTCCTCCTCTTCCTCATTTTCCTTCTGCCTCTGCTTCTTCTCCTACTCCTTCAACTCCACCTCCTCCTCCTCCGCCCCCCTCCTTCATCGCTGCAGCGGCCGAGGGGACGAGGCGAAGGGACACGCCCCTGCTCGATTCCTCCCGCATCCTGTCTACAGCCCCCTACCCCTAATCTCTTGCTCCTTGCCCCTCCCCCTTCCCCCTTCCCCTCCCCAAACACCCACGCTGCTAGCCTCGAAGCCGCTAACTCATTCATGTCATGCTCATGCCACTACAGCGAATCTAACGTCACGTGAGAGGAAACAAAGGAGGCCGACTTAGGATACGGAAGGGCAGGGGGGGGGGGGCAAGAGAGGAGGGTGTGGATGGGACGGATATGACAGGGAGGAGGGATATGGGGGAGAGGAGTGGGACGTGCGAGAGAGGAGGGAGAGAGGAGAGTAAGGGAGGGGATAGATAAGGAGGGAGGAGGGAGGGAGGGAGGGAGGGGAGGGAGGAGGGGAGAGGGGAGGGGGAGGGGGAGGGAGAGAGGGAGAGGGAGAGAGAGAAGAGAGAGAGAGAGAGAGAGAGAGAGAGAGAGAGAGAGAGAGAGAGAGAGAGAGAGAGAGAGAGAGAGAGAAGAGAGAGAGGAGGACAGGGGCACAGACACCCAAGCACGCGCCTGCACACGAGCCGTACGCAAAGGAGCGCTGTGCAGACGGCTCGCTCCACGTGGCCCAGGAAGGAGGAGCCGAAGCAAAAGCAGGCCAGTCTCGGGGGAGGAAAGAAACCGTTGCGACAAAAACAGTAAACTCCTTGAGGGAGATAATAGTCCGAATAAAAGCACTGCAGTCCCGAGTGGACGGAATGGTCGAAATTAACGTAGTATTGGAGTTCCAAGTGGAATGAAAACTCAAAACACATATCGTATAGTTTGTGCTGGAATCAACGGTCTAGTTAAAAGCCCTTATAGCCCCAGGGGGAGACAATATGCTAAATGACTGGCTCGTCCCAGACAGAGGAATAGCCTTAGGGCAGAGGCAATGGTCTTTACAAATCCCGTTTAGTCCCCAATCGAAGGCTTTCGTCGAATTAAAGACATCGAAAAGTCCGATAATGATCGAAATTAATAACGCAGTCATAGTCCCGGGCAGTGGCAGTCTAGCCCAGGTGAGGGAGGGGCTCCGAGTGCCATCGCTGAGAAGGGCGCTGTGTGAGGCTGCCGCGCCCGCCTCCCACGGTGCACGGGGGAAGCGACCACACAGGCCAAGGAGAATAAGGAGGAAGGTGGAAATCAGAGAAGGATATATATATATATATATATATATATATATATATATATATATATATATATATATATATATAATATATATATATGTATGTATACATATATATAATATATATATATAATATATATATATATATATGTATAATATATATATATATATATATATATATATATATATATATAAATATATGTATACATATATATATATATATATATATATATATATATATATATATATATATATATATATATATATATAAGAGAGAGAGAGAGAGAGAGAGAGAGAGAGAGAGAGAGAGAGAGAGAGAGAGAGAGAGAGAGAGAGAGAGAGAGAGAGAGAGAGAGAGAGAGAGAAATCAAATAAAAACAGGGAGACGGGTATGGATGGGGGAGCAGAGCACAAGGAGGGAATTTTTTTAAAGGACATAAATATCTAGCAGAAAGAAAGGCGCCGAGGAGCGCCGTCCTACTCACCTTCTTGTGGTTGGTCTTCATAGCCTGCAAGATAGGTATGCAACACTTTATAATGTGAATGTTAGTCCGGTTCCAAGCACTCTGCGTCACTCGGTCTCAACACTCGCCCGCTTCAACATAGCATTTGGCTCACTTTCCTTTATCCTTCTACACTGAACTCTTTCCGAAATATATCACTCTTCTCTCTTACTTCCATTCTTTCAGTTTTTTTCTCTCTCCTTTCTCTCTCTCCTTCGCTTTACTGTTCTACTGCTTAGTTAAATGGATCTGCGGAGGGGGAAACACTGTTACCAATCACCCACTGGGGAAAGACACTGGCACCAAGTACAATACAACGTCACTGTGCCCAGACCGACCAGGCGAACCCCGGCGCACCACACCAAGCAGTCCGAGCAGAAGGCAAACCATGACAAGACGTGGTGTTCGCTGTCGCCAAGTGAGAGTAAAGGTCTAGGTTACCAGGTACGAAACCCTAAACTCTGGCTGGGAATAAGGTGTTTATTGCTGTTGTTTGGTTGGTGTTGCTCGCGTCCGGCGCGGGCTCGTCCGGGGCGCCCGAGGCTGCCCTCCAAAGGCACCTCGAACTGCTCGCTCCTGGCATGGCGTGACGTCACTCAAAGAGGGAATGCAAACGGAGGGACGACGTCACGACAAGAAGCATCTACCAAGGGCAGTCAGGGAGACAATGTGGCAGCGGCGATGCATCAAGTGGAGGGAATATGTATAACATGTAACATGTAAAACAAAATTTTCAAAACGACTGAAACGAATAAACTCAACGAGGTCAATGATAGCGATAAGATAGAATAAATGAACGAGTCAGAACTGATAACGTTCCCCAGCCGATATGCACGTATCTACGGCTTTTTTTTCCCTCTCGTGTCGGTCCCATCGCCGCCCATCCTCCGCGTGGCGTGGCGGGCGTCCGCGTAGGTTCGATCCGCAGACACAATGATCTTCGCAGATCCAAGGCGCTGACGGGAAAAATCAATACATTCCGGACCTCAAATGCAGTTAGGCCGTTCGCACCTGTCCCTATCCACGGCCCGGACGGGGGGGGGGGGGGGGGGGAGAGGCCGAGGAACGGGCGGGGGGAGGCGGGCAGGGAGGGGGCGGAGGGAGAGGGAGGGGGCGGAGAGGTTTGGTCTAAGAGTGGATATGGAAGTAATATATGCATCTGGGTTGGAGAAGAGAGGGAGGGAAGGAGGAAAGGAATGAGAGAGAGAGAGAGAGAGAGAGAGAGAGAGAGAGAGAGAGAGAGAGAGAGAGAGAGAGAGAGAGAGAGAGAGAGAGAGAGAGAGAGAGAGAGAGCGAATGAAGGATTTAAAGCGAAAGCAGGGTTAATTCCACGGATGAACGGACACAAAGGCGCATCAACCCGTTTACTACTTTCCGCGGAAATGACAGGGAGATGAAACGAAGGAAGGAGATACGCAATACAAAGGGAGGAAAGAGGATGCGCGCAATATAAAGCGATGAAGAGAGAGAAGAGAGAGAGAGAGAGAGAGAAGAGAGAGAGAGAGAGAGAGAGAGAGAGAGAGAGAAGAGAGAGAGAGAGAGAGAGAGAGAGAGAGAGAGAGAGCAAATAAAAAAACAAATAAACCCAGAACCACAGAGATCGCGCAAATGACTCGGGCAAAATTACTCGAGCAAAAAAAAGGGGAAATGCGCCCGGAAAAAAGAGAGAAGCGGAAGAGCTCTCGCGCCGAGGAGCCCGGCGAGGAGGCAGGCGCGAGAGGGACGCGGCTGAGGCGGGGGGAGGGGGAGGGGGAAGGGGACGAGGGGAAGGGGAGAATGGGTAAATGGGGGAGGGGAGAAGGGAGAGGGAGGAAGAGTGGAGGGGGCAGAGTTGGGTAGGAACAAGGAAGAAGAAAGGAAGGGGAGTAGGGGATGGGGTTGGGATAAGTGAAGAGGATGGAAGGGCGGGAGAGGAAGGGTGAAGGAGAGTGGAGAGGGAAGGTAGGGGAGCAGGGGAAAAGGAAGGAGGGAGCGTCGCCACACGAAGAGGAGAGCGACGGGGATATCGTTAACAGGCCGAGGGTTGCTAGGCAGTTTCGGTTGCTAAGTGCGTCCGTCGCGGCGGCCAGCGAAAGGAAGCACAAAGAGGCAGCCTAAGCACTTTCTCCCCCCCCCCCCTTGCCCCGCAATCCTTTCCTCCCCAACCCCTCCCTACGGCGCATCCTCACCCCCCCCCCTCGCCAATCGCCTACCCTCCCCCCTCCCACAGCGACACCTGCGCCACCGGCTCCGTCGCGGGCGTCAACAAAGGAACCTGGACGGGCGGGCGGCGCCGTCCAACCGCTGCCGACCGCCCGATCGCGTCCGAACCGTGCAGGACTCGCCTCGCGGTCCCTGGCCGGGCACTCCAGCTCGCCCCCGTCGGCCCCGCACGCAGGGTGCCTCCCGCGGCCGCCGGAAGCCGTGCATCGCTGCGACGCGCCGCCGGCCTCGAGGGGAAGGCGGGCGCGCGAGAACAAGTGCCAAGGCAGCGGCAGCCCAAGCAAACGGAGATGCCTCAAAGCACACATCAGCTGACATTATGCCCCTCCCCCTCCCGCCTCCCTCCCCCGCCCTGCCACGTGCCCTATACCCTTTGCCTTCTTTCCCAGTGCCCTATTGCCCTCCTTCCCTCCTTCCCTTCCTCCCCTCCCCTCGTCCGGGCCTTCGCAGAACTCCCTCCCTCCCTCGCAGCCCAACGAGCCCGCACTCACGACCTCAAGTGGCTCAGAAGACTTCTTCGAATCGCATTTCCTCTTCGTCCTTTTTC